CCTGGGTCAGCCTCGAGCAACCAATGTCCTGAACCACCTGCATGCAGGGTTGGGTCTGCGACTTCCAGTGCACCTTATCACCTGCCGTTTCATCCTTCACATGTCGCTGCAGGGCTTTGCAAGTGTGGGTAAACCCTTCAGGCCTGCACCGTGGATTTTTAGGTGAGGCACAGCGTGCGCGGAACTGGCTCCACCCTTTACACCTGAGGTTTAACTGCCAGGGCCTAGCGAGCTTGGACGGTGACAGCAAAGTCCTCAGGTCGTAGGTTTGATTAGAGTCCTGTAAGGCCATCCATCTAAGAGAAGGACACTCTGTTTTTTCTGTATATCACATATATATACAAATGTACTTTCAGAACTTGCTGGATTAACACTTTAACATATGGCTCTTCTACATTCCAACAAACAGCTCTTCTACTCCAAGACCCCTGGAAAGAATCACAGTTTATGCAACAAAAATAATTTAAAGAATGCACCTGGCACAGATGGGCCTCAGGTACAATGCTGCAAACCACTGTACTCTGTTAATCATGCCAACAACACAAGTCTTCTGAATCGCAGACTGTGCCAGATAAATCAGTATGATGAAATTCCCTGCTGCAGATTTTCAAGCTTAAGTAAAAGGAGATCAAAACTTAACACACAGGTGATCAAATCTCAGAGTAAAAGGCTACAAAAATCCTTGACCCAGGAAGAAATTTCCCATGTATATTTAAGTTATTGGCTTCATAATCCAGAAGTCACATGAATTCCAGAAATTCTGTATCTGGGTATTTTACACATAACTGACAGAGGGCTATAGACACCTGGAAAAAGAAAACTGCTGTTCCGCACAGTTTTTTGAATTTCTTAGCCAGTGTTTAGCCATAGAAGATACCAGCACTCCAATTATAAGGAAGTGACGTTTTCAAAGCTTTCAGGTAACAGTAAATGGACATGAATGACAAAACTCTGGGTGCGGAAGTACACAGAAACCATGATCCACATGCCGACTAATTCTTGCAAAACAATCTCAATATCCTGACATGTAGGGGCCCATGTGGGCTACTCAAGCATATGCAACAGGCATTCATAGAGTCTTTAAACTTGTGTGTGCATTCATATGCAGATGAGATAAAAAACTGCCTGCAAAAAGAGAAAATGCTAGTATAGCTATAGCAACAAAAATTTATAGTAGAAGTGCTGTTTATGCCATAAAAACATGGCTTTGATAATACCATACACTAATGACTGTGATATGCATATATTCAAAAGACATAATTGCACCTAGAGCCCTGCTACAGCAGTTGCGTCCATTAGAAGCGGCATGGTATTTCTGACTTAAAATTCTTGTCCAAAATGCCTGCTCCATGAAAATATTATCTACCATTCCTCAATGATAAATAAGTTGAAGGTATAAGAAATCCCATAAGTTTGAAAACCTAACAATACTCTGTTTATTGTACTACAGTAAAGAATAATAACGTAAGATACTGCTGAGCAAGGTCTTTTTGCAGAGTATTTGTTACTAATGCCTTTTTTTTTCTGCCTTTCCTACAGTTGCAATAGAAGACCAAGATACATACTGAAAAATTGAAAGGAAAGATCATCCACGGAACTGCAAAACAATTCACAATGTCACCAAACCCCACAATAATACAAAGTAAGAGAATTTTAACAGTCTTTTGTGGGAAGGCTTTGCTCATTTATCTTTAAAGTTTCAAATTTAAACTTCATCAAGAATCATAAATATGTATTTGACAATATTCAAACCTTTAAAAGAAGTCTAAAGTAAACATTAAGGCAGTAGCTGTATCAGCACTAGGAAGCCATCACATCTCCTTGTAAAATAAACTCCCACGTTTATTTTACATGCTTACCAGCATGTTATTATGTAAAACAGCAGCTCTTTGGCCTAAGGTAAGGTCAAAGCTACAGACTCCACAGTATACTAGTAGCCAATATAAACACCAGGCTCGCAAAACAGCACCTTGAATGTGCAAAACGGAAAGATATGCATGTGGAAATTTGATATAAACAAACAAACAAAAATAGCCAAGTGCCTATAAATCACATACATCATTTACTACAAAGAGACACAGAACACATTGCTGGTTTGGGCAGTGGTAACTTTTTATCATCAGAAAGGCATTCCTCAGGGTAGTTACCAGTTAAATTGTGACAGGAATAAGCCTAGTCTTAAGGTTTCAGACAGATTCGATTATGAAGTCACACTTCAATCACTTCTGTTTTGGAGAAAGGAAACTGGCCAAAAATTAAAGAAAATTCACTTAAGGGAAAAAGAGAACATTTTCCCCCCTCCAGCATAGAAAATTACACAAACATCTATTCTTAGGAAGATTACAGAAAAAAGCTGACACAAAAAGAGAAATATGAGGTTTGCTTAGTATCCTGGTAACATGAAAATTGCTATGTTGCTATGTGTTCTACAAATGTACCCCATGTTTGACAATTATACTATCAAAATTTTAAATCATCTTTTTGAGGGAAAAAGAGCAACCATGATTCTTTAATTTCATCAAATCACAGAATCATAGGACAGTCTGGGTTAGAAGGGACCTTCAAAGGTCATCTAGCCCAACACCCTGCAATAAGCAGGGACATCTTTGACTAGATCAGGTTGCCCAGAACCACATCCAGCCTGGCCTTGAACGTCTCCAGGGATAGTGCATCCACTGCCTCTCTGGGCAACCTGTGCCAGTATTGGACCACTCTCATTGTAAAGAATTTTTTCCTCACATCCGGCCTGAATATCCACTTTTAGTTTAAAAGCGTAACCCCTCATCCTATTGCAACAGGTCCTGCTAAAATGTCTCCCCATCTTTCTTATAAGCCCCTTTTAAGAAAACAATAGGGCCATAATAAGGTCTCCCTGGAGCCTTCTCTTCTCCAGGCTGAACAATCCCAACTCTCTCAGCCTTTCCTCATAGGAGAGGTGTTCCAGCCCTCTGATCACTTTAGTAGGCCTGCCTGAAGTGATATAGTCAAGAAAAATAAAGGATCAAATAGCTGACAGTTCTACATAATGATTTTCTGTTGATTCAAATTTTTAAAATTGGTTGGGTTTTTGTTGTGGGTTTTGTGTGGTTTTGTTTTGTTGTTTTTTTTTTAACATATGCTGTAGTACATTACCATAGAATCATAGAATAGTTTGGGTTGGAAGGGACCTTCAAAGGTCATCTTGTTCAACCTCCTGCAATAAGCAAGGACATCTCTGCAGCTTCCTGCTTAGTATTTAGACAGGAGGTTGAGGAGACCCTGCAAGGTCAGAAGCCACACTGAACAAGAGCAGAACTGGAATGACACTTAGGCATACATTAAATAAAAGTAAAGACTTGTTTGGACCAAGAGGCTTTCTGTTAGGCTGAGAACAGACTTTCTTTGGATAGTGTCATGGCTTTCTTTGCATAGTGTCATGGCAACTAAGTACCATGCAGACTCACTCTCCCTAACCCTCTGATGGCATAGAGAAGATTATCAGAGAAAAAGATAAGACTTGTGAGTTGAGATAAGAACAGTTTAATAATTGAAATAAAGTAAATATAATAACAACAATAATAGGGTAAAGAGAGAGAGGAATAAAACTCAAGAAACCCAAAACACAATACAATTGCTCACCACCCATTGACTGATACCCAGCCCAGCTCCAAGTGGCGATCAGCAGCTCCCCCTGGTTTCCGTACAGAGCATGGCATTCTGTGGTATGAAATACCCTTTGGCTAGTTTGGGTCAGGTGTCATGCTCCTGCTTCCTCCTGGCTTCTTGTACCCTTCCTCACTAGCAGAGCATGAGAGACTGAAAAGTCCTTGAATTTACAGTCAGTGCTGCTAAACTACAACTAAAACATTAGCATTATCAGTGTTATTCTCATACTAAATCCAAAACACTCCACTGTACCAGCTACTGGGAGGAAAATTAACCCTATCCCAGCTAAAACCAGGACAGATAGGAATTCCCCATCCCTTTTTTTTTACTCCAGAAGCAGTTGATGCTGCTGTTTCTACAGTTATCACCAGCCTATCACCATTCTTTTTATTCTGTTTGTATCTTCTGCATAGCTGTACTGACACTTATTCACAAGATACAATGAGGCACGAAAGGTGAGGGAGGTTTCTTTTTTCTCTAGAAGACCACAGACCAAAGGACATTTTTCAGTGAATGAATAATTCATAGTTTCATCTTCCTCTTAGAACAGAACGTTGCAAACACAACAGAAGGGATTACCAGTATAGGAAACTGAGTCCCAGTTTTTGAAACGATTTTTATATTAAGAAATACAAAAATCATATAAGAACTTTATCCAGAACAGAGCATAGTGGAATGTTACTGAATTATCCTCCTAGGTTAGGCAAATAATACCCAATTACTCAGTTTACGCTGAGTTATTCTGATTCCTGTATATTTTCTCCTCCTGTTAGCAAACCATTTTCTAACTTGTTCTTTTGGAAGATGTATTTCCTGTGAACAGATGTCATCACATTAATCAAAATAATGTAGAATTACATTTTAACTGGAATAAGAAATCATAAGTAAGTCTTCTCTTTTTACTGTGCAAAAATTCCATTATTATTCTACGGTATTTCCAGAGTATTTAACATTTCAATACATCCAGCAGATAGGATCATCACACCTTTGCTGTTGTTCAAAAGAAGACTGAGCTATTAATTTTAATTTTTCTACTACTGTAAGCATGCAACCTGATGTTAAATTCCTTTGCACTCAAAATTTCCATCCATTTAGCAATCCATTAAAAGAAAACAGAGCATCAAGCAGAAAAGGAACACTGGTCTGCTTTCTAGAAAAACATCAAATAACTCAGAAAAAAAATCAACTGGTCACTATTTAAGAAACAGGAATTTTTAACCTGCAAAACAGACATCTACTAAGATTTTCTTTGTTATTTCATTTAGCTAATACATGTCTCTGCAGTTCTAAAATGAAAAGCAAGATAGAACACACTGTTTAATGCAGGAGCACAAAACAACTTCATATTTTCTTACCTTTGCATTATAGGGAATATAATGCTTTGATAAGGCTTCAGGAGTGTGCATCCATGTTTTGTCTACAGAAAAGCAAAATAAAAGAGGCACCGAATAGGTTATTCACTTGTTAATTATTATTGCATCTATATAGAAAAACATAAAGGAATCTCCTTTTACCCAGAGAAGTACCTGTCTGAAGTAGTTACTGGGGCTTGAGGGAAATGCAGCTTATCTCACAACTTCCAAAACATTACATGAAAGAGCATTACTTCTCTTATGGACATTTTAACTAACAAGGTTTACAGTAAGAATTCCAACTCCTCTCCCCCCAGATATATTTATTGGTCTAAGGTTGTTTGCTGTTTCTGCCTCAGATCAGCATTTTCTGCATCCTGATGTTGTTTAAAGCACTGACTGCGTATCATTCTTCTAATTATTGGATTTTGATGAATTATGTACTTTTTGATGGATTATCAAAATGTTAACAGGACAAAGGAAATTATTTGGGGAAAAATATCAGAGCAATAACTGCTAGCAAAAAGCCCTAAACCTTCAACAGGAGAATAGAAACAAGTCACACTGTGGTAACTGATTCAGAAGATTAGATCTTCTTGAGTATTTGCTTATATATCCTAAATGAACGTGCATATTTTCCTTTCATGATTGTCACATCACAAGACTGCACTATTGTATTACTTTTCCCATTGCATGTTTCATATGGTGACATGATTCTATGATTATTTTTAAATACATCTTCCCACCTTGATTTTAATGGTCATTTGCATTCTACATAATTTAAGGTGCAATTCCAAATGTCAGAAAACACTAATTTTTATTAGAAGTTTACAAACCTTGTTTAGAAAGTTTTCTCATTTGAAAGAATTTAAGAAAAACAGATGTTCTAAAATACTAAATTGCATTACCAACCTCTTGAAAGATTCTGTAACACTTAGTAGTATTTTATACTCCATACACTCAATATTTAGTCTTTTCTACTACGAGTATTTTTACTACTCCTATTTTAATTAGCATGAATTAAAGTTAGAAATCTGTAACTTTATTCAAATAAGAAAGAATAATAGGTTAAAGCAAAATTCTACCCTTGAGTATTCACAGATAATTCCCCTTGCCTTTAATTGGAGTTGAAGTTACAGCAATTACTTTTTTGTTACACGTAAAAACAATAAAATTCTGTTCACTTGAAACTGCTCAAGAGCAAAAAGTGTGACATTTATTGACAATAAACCAATAACTAAACATTTTTGAATATACAGAAGCAAAAAACACTGCTAAACAAGATATTTGCCATAGTCACCGCAGTACCAGGTTCAAAACTGCAAAGCTGGAGGATTATTTTTTTTCTTTAAGCAGATTTCATTCTAGATTACAGTAATGTTCAGCTCCATTACTGAAACGTGGTATTATCACTTCTTAATTAAGCAAGCATGATTTTTCCATTCAGCAGCACCCAGGAGTAAAATTATGCACTGAAGTGGCTCTTCCTTTCAATTGTTGCTCCTGACTGAATACCGGAACCAAGATCTACACTCGTTTCCCAGAATATTTTAAGACCTGGAACTTGGTCTCTATTTTCAGTACAATATCAAAAGCTGATGTTATCTACAAATAAAAAATAACAATCAGTATTAATTAGGAATGTAGAAGAAAGCCTGATGCCACAGAAAATACATGGACTCAGTCAGAGATCAATGTAATCAGCCGTTTATTACAAAGCCTTAACTCCTTATGTACTATTTCTTACATGCACTTACACTGATTTGGCATATTATGATTGAGTACATGTCTTGAAGACCCTCAGTGACTAACATATAATTGGTTAAGCACAGGTGTGAGAACTTGACCTCGAAAGCTTGCCAACAGTCCACAGTTCTCATTAGCTCGGTGAATTCCAGCTTCTTCTCATCTTGCTTGCTTAAGCTTCCTCCGGCCTCTCATGGCCTTGCTGTATCTTTCAGGATTATTCAGAGTTTATGTACCAATTATGCATTCTCCTGTGAGAAAACTGCCTCCACAGCCTGACATCCTAAAAGATAATTCTAAGCATTGTTTTTTAGGTCAGCGCACTGCTGAAGGCCAGACAAGCAGACTGGTGACTGGCCTTAATGGCAAGAGGCACAGAGGAAGCTGGCACATAAGGCAGGATTACTGTCTGCTCCATCATGCTTACTGCAGCAGAGCAAAGACCTGCACAGTGCAAACTGCAACTCTGAACTGTGCATTCACATCACTAATGTCAATGTTTTATTTACCCATTTCCTACATGCTAACTGTTCACTAGCTTCAGCAAGTATACTGTGATATTTATAAATTCATAAAGGAAAATCTAGTAAACATAAAACATTGAACCTCTTAAAAAAAAAATAAAATAACACCAAAACCATTCCTCCATTCATTTCACGCCTAGTACTAGCACAAAGAAATGACAGGGCTGTAGCTTCTGAAGCAATTTCACAGGCAGACAACTGATTACACAGGTACCAGTAAAACTAACTGCTCTTTGCAAGTGCTTCCTCCTTCCTTCTTCCCATTCCCAAATAGGGCAAGTTCAAACCTGAAAAAAAGGTGATTTTATTTTGGAGCCAAGTTTGAAGTGCTGGTCTTAATTAAGCACCTGATAATCTTCTCAATATAATTACTGAGTAGATGGAAATCTTTCAAATATTATTATTAGGTACAAAGCTTCACTTCAAATGTTTTTGTGAAATCATCCACTTGCCTACCAACCTCAATCTGCAATCTTACAGGGATTGCAGCAAACACTTTATGCTGCTAGGAAAGTGTTTAAGTGTTGGTACCCCTATTTAGGGGGAAGATTTAGAAATATGGATGTGTTCTCCCAGCTGAAAATGAAATCAGTAATTTAGCAGAGTACCAAAAAGATGCCTGGATTCTACAAGTCTTGTGCCATTGGTTAAAACAGTGAGTTGGCATGCTACATTTCCAATAACCAGATGTGGATCTGCACAAACTGTGACACAGATACTGAAGTTTTCCATTGACACTGGAAGCCCATTTCCTGGAGGCAGGTAATAATTACAGAATGGTGGCACTTCTGAAAGAACTCTTTAACACTAAACAAAATCTAAAGTAGACAAATTCACATTGATCGCACAGATATGGAAAAAAAAATCACTCAAGTTACTATGGGGAAGTTCGTTACTTGCATTTCCTTCTGAATTCTAAGTTATGATGTTGGATTTGTGTCACTTTCAGTAGTTGTTTGAAATACTGCTTAAAGTTAGTTTGATTTCACAGCAGTTGAGCAATACCAAATTCCAGACATTTTGCAACCAATAAACTAGAAAAATATGAAAAACAGGAATTCAGTTAAAACTGTTTAAAAGTATTTAAAAAAGTATTCACGTAAGTACCCGATGTAGATGTGGCTTGGGATTTGCACGATCCCTCACTTTTTAAATTCATTTTAAATGGGTTTTCACAGCTTACTACTTAATTATTCGTTCTGAAGCAACAAACAAAATATGAAACCCTACAATAAAAATCACAGTTGATATTATTATTTTACTAGTTATGGAGCAGCAAGAGTTCTAGGCACTTCATAAATAAATAAAACACTAAGTCCTGAAGGACTAAAAGCCAAGATAAAACCAAAACTGACAACTGCATGCATCTAACATAAGAGTACTACAAAGTGAAAAGAGACTCATGCTATCACATCAGGTGAAAACTACAGTTATTTTTAGATTTTGGCTGAAAGTCTTAATCTAGGTTGCCTCCACACTTACATTAAAGTTTAAGTGCCTGGTTATTTTTGTAGATTCAGGAGTTTGAGCCATCCAGAATCCATTAAAACCTAAGCAGAGTTTAGCTTGAATAAGATATGAGAGATTCTACAAGGTAATAGCCTAAGTATGAGTCGATTTTGCCAAACATACTGGCACTGCGAGGAGAAAAGATGGGTAAAAGGATCACTGCTCAGGATTCAGAAGCACAGGTTAAGCCACAGCCCTGCTTAAAGACAGTAATCTTGTAACCTCGCCTCAACACCTCTTCACATGCATGGCATACTAACTGTGCAGCACAGCGGGCTTTTTGAGAGCCCCCGTAGAAGCAGCACAGCATCTCAGCCAGTTTTTAAGAGAATCTGGCTTGAGTGAGAGCTTCTCAGGTGTAGCTCCCTGCCGGCATACAGTAGCCTGCTAAGAGCAGTGAAAAAAAATGCATAAAATTAGCATTCCGAAGATCTAGGGTTTGACAGAATTGCAAGGGAGGAGGAGGCAAGGGGATGGGCACTTTCATGGTCAGAGGATTAACTGTGCTCAGTATTGAGACTTCACTCCTCTCTAGACTCCCTTAAATCACCCCTTCCATTCTAAAAGAAAGATTCTTTTAAAATATGCATGTCACTACAACTGCTAGGTCATCACACACTCTGGGAGCACCAGTGTGAGTCATTTCAGAGGCCTTGGCAGTGCTGGGAGAGCCAGGGAAGAGGAATGTGCTGACAAATCACACGCTGAAGTCAACAGACTCAGGAACTTTATAAAGTACCCATAAAAACTGTGATGCACTAGGATGACACTAGGTTAGATAAAAGCACAGCTGACCACTTATCTCACAAAAGGGAAAGCAGTAACAGTGGCGAGAAATTGTTCTCTGAGATTAATTTCCCCACACATTACTGGCCACAGCTATAGAACAGATTGAGTAAAGAGGCACTGATGTACTATTTTCTATAAATGGCAAAACAACTCTCAACAGTGCAAGTTTAGTTAACTGCCTCCCTGAATTCCACTCATGTTCTTTTTATTTAGTGCCACAACGAAACTTCTGAAACTGAAATGAAACAATGAAAAGTCATTTCTTGAAGGTAAAAAATACCACGTTCGTTCTTTACTGAATTGAAGTACCTCTGACATCAATGGATGTCTTTTCTTCCTGCTATAGAAAGAAAGATCTTATGTGACAATCATCCTAGTAACAGTCTCCTGAAGGGGAGAGTACCCCATGAGATCAATGCTACATGTAGGTACTGATGCCTCAGGAACAAATGGCTTATTTGCTTCAGTGTGTGTACGCATGTATCTACATCTTTCAT